GTGTCACTGACCGTACATGTTATCGGGGCCCCTAATACTGAGCGCCGATATACTTTCCCTTGATTGGGGCCCAAGAGTACCAACCTTCAGTGAAGGGCACGAACGGGCAATAATATAGATTGAAGATGATGTGACATAGGTTCGTCCCAAGTTGAGATGCTTGAGACTCTTGCACTTCATCTCCTGCATGAGTTGAAGCAGATTCAAGGGGAATTACCATAAACTTAGTACAGCCTGCATTGTACTTTGTACATTGTACAAGTGTTTCAAGTGTTTCAGCCGACATACCTCACTTGCAAGCCTTGTAAGAATGACAATTAGTAGGTTGTGATAACTTTCAATACCAAATGGCTCTCATCTCGTCAATCGCATCTGCAATACGGAAAACCATAGCAAGAGACTCACTAGTCGACAGATGCCAGCGTCAGAGACACCCTTCACACCGCACAAGGAAAAGCCACAACATGCGCGTGAAAGAAGCACGATGCGATCCACAGCCTTCCATATTGGAACTGTGGAAATGCCAGACAGAACGGCAGTAGAATAACAGAAGGGTCAACATGGATTGATGTTGAGATAAGGGATGCACGTACATGTCAATGTCGGTGACGACGAAGGCCATGGGAATGATCGATGGCAAGGCAACCTCCGGGTTACGGCACTTGGTGATGGTCAGGCGTTGGCGATGCCCCCACAATCGCACCGCTGCACTGTGCCATGATCTCAAAACCCTGGCGACACTGTAGCAGGCGAAGGGCGAGCACAGGGAATAAGAAAATCCAATCTAGAAAAATGTCAAATGAGTCGTAACAAAATGTCGTGAAACCTGGGACATAATTTTGCGGAATGGGCGAGAAATGAGGACAACTTACCTTGCGATGTCATGATACGAGCTAAGGTGTTGGAAACGATGAGTAAGAAAATCCTCCGGAAGTCCCGGTGGTTCGTTGAAATCTTCAGACGGGTCGTCGGAGGATGTTTCAGCATCATCGTCGTCTCGTCTCTCTGACCACCATGTTGATCCATTGTCTCTAGGATTTCCCCAATCTAGCAGCCGAGCCAGGAGCAACTGAGCCATTTGTTGCTATACAAATTGCCTAGAAGACTATACAAGTAATACATTTCCAACTATGTACAAGAAATAGGGCTAAATGCTATCAGCACACCATGGTAAACGTGCTTCTTCGGACCTTACGACCTCGACGAGACACAGCCCACTAGAAACAACGGCCGCTACGATCAGCTAAGGCACAATTTAACTACTTGTCCACTTCGAATTCTTTTCCTCGCGGTATCCAGTCATTACCATCCTATTTACACACAAATCCTGCTCTCTGGCTCTCCGCCTAGCTGTTTTCAACAACCCCCACTTAGATCATCTCCAACAGTCGCATTTCCCAGCTCGTCCTTGCTCGCCTCTCATGATCACCCTGGCTTGTCTTTCCTGAATCATCCTCCTCATCGTCCTTGTTTCACTCACGCGGGTCGTGTATGCCTGACCATGTGACACAGATCAGCTGGCCTGGGCAGGGAAAGCTGGCACGCAACGCAACACTGCTAGACAGGAAGAGGGCGTGGAATTGGCCAGCGAATCCCAAGGCTGTGTCAGTAGGGAGCATGTGATTGGTAAGTGCAACTCGCAAAAGTGAAGTCACCCACTGTTTCATTCGTCGGGCAGGAGAAACCTGTCCAGCTGTGTGTAGCACTGCCTGCAAAATGTTGAAACATCGAAACTGGTTACTGCGTTTCTAGCTTCTCCGATATGGGAATTGAATTCCACTGTGTAACCTTGGGTACACCACACAAGATATGGAGTCACTCATCCCGCTTTGCCCTACGATACGTCTACTAAATTTCCACTTCTCCGTCAGTTGGGAGCAGGTGGTCCATCATTGCCCGCAATTTCAGCGCCCGTGTTTGGCAGACTGGACGACAGTATTTGGATTCTAGATTGATCACTATCCTCTTTCCTGTTATCTTCCTCTCACCATGGGCGGGCTGTTCAGAGACTTACCCCCGCCTTCCGATGCGGATAAGGACGCATCCGACGCACAGCCCTTTGCGGCTTCCACTTCTACATCTTCCGCGCGTCGTCCGAAGCTATGGTCCGTCAAAATTACCCCCCCTACATTGCGCAAGCCCTCCGCCGCAACCCTCTTCGCTCCGCCAACATCCGTTCTCCGCCGTCAATCTCTCTCCGCGTCCAACGCTGCTTCCCTTGGTGCAAAGTCCGCGCGTTTGCCAGCTTCGCCTACACCGCCAGTGAGCGGTGCAGCTCCGCCTGGCACAACAAGCGAGGGGACGGATACCTCCGCTATGGTTGCCGCAGCGGCAGCAGCATCGGGACTGGGTGTTGGCGCGGGGATAACGGAAGTGCAACCAATCCCCATAGCAGTTGCGACCGCTGCTCCCAGCGAAGCAACTCCTTCCTTCCCTTCCGCCTACTCCGCGCAAACTCCCTCCCCTTACGCCCTTGCTTACACCCCTGATCCACGCTTCGCCGCTCATTCAGGATATCAGGCTCCTCTGCCGCCCTACGAAAGCGCAGCCACAGCATTTCCTCCCCCGGTCCCCCCCTATGGCTCCACGTACCCCCTTCCCCCGTATCCTGCCCCCGCCCCAACCCTTCCGCCTGCATCTCCGCCTGTGCCCCCTATCATGCCACCAAGTGGCGGAGCGGCGCTGGTTGCTGCAGCTGCCGCAGTTGTGGATGAGTATGACTCGGCTATACCTAACGATTATGAGAAGATTCTAAGGGAGAGGAAGAGAAAGGGTGCAAAGGAGGAGAGGAGGCAGGAGATGGAGAGGAGGAGGAGGGAGGAGGAGGAGAGGGAGAAGGAGTGTGAGGCGGTGCTGCAGAGACAGCGGGATCTAGAGCTAGCAATCAAGGCTGAATGTGAGGTGGAAGCCTTTGGAGCTTTGGAGGTAAGCGTGAGAGTGGGTGCCTGTGGTGTGTCTTCAATCAAGGCTGAGCGTGAGGTGGGTGCCTTTGGAGCTTTGGAGGTGTGCGTGAGAGTGGGTGTCTGTGGTGTGTCTTCAGTCAAGGCTGAGCGTGAGGTGGGTGCCTTTGGAGCTTAGGAGGTGAGCGTGAGAGTGGGTGCCTGTGGTGTGTCTTCAGTCAAGGCTGAGTGTGAGGTGGGCGCCTTTGGAGCTTAGGAGGTGAGCGTGAGAGTGGGTGCCTGTGGTGTGTCTTAAATCAAGGCTGAGCGTGAGGTGGGTGCCTTTGGAGCTTAGGAGGTGAGCGTGAGAGTGGGTGCCTGTGGTGTGTCTTCAACCAAGGCTGAACGTGAGATGGGTGGGTTCCTAAGGAGCATAAGAGCATACGAGTCCAGGTGAGTTCAAGTCTAGCTGAGAGAATCTTGAGTGTACTGTTTCTATCAGGGATATGCTACCCTTGCTACCAACAAATAGACAAACACTCTGTCAATCCTCTTCTGTTCCTGATCCGTGCCTGCAGTGTGCGGCAGCAGCCAAGGCGTCAGAGCAGGAGGGAGCTGCATCAGCATCAACCGCTGCCCCTGCTGGCTCTGAGCGCCCTCAGCTGCGCGTCAGTGGGGAAGAGGCCTGGCGCTGCAGAGCCCTGCTCATCTTCCTCTCATTCCCATCTTCCAAACCCCCACTTTCCCCACTAACTCCCACCCCTGCAGTGTGCGGCTGCAGCCAAGGCATCAGAGCAGGAGGGAGCCGCATCAGCGTCTGCTGTGGCCTCCGGTGGAACGGAGCGCTCTCAGCTGCACGTCAGTGGGGAGGAGGCCTGGCGCTGCAGAGCCCTGCTCAGTGGCAGAGGTGGGGGAGGAGCAGGGGGGGGGTTGGGAGCAGCAGCAGGAGGAGCGTCGGCAAGCCCACGAGCGGCGGAGAGATCGCCATCTCCTCCCAAGTGAGACGTCTGGAACTTTGTTACGAGTTACTGTAGGTTAGGCATGGCTTTATCTCGGTTGCATGGCTGATTGCTGTGCGTCAACCAGTTGGTTGCTTCATTTTCTCAGGCTCTAGCATGAGATTCCATGGTATTAGTCTTCAGCTCTAGCCTCTCTTGTTTTCACTCAAACTCGGTTCTTCTGTTGCACTGGGCAGGTCCAAGGGGTTTGCCATGCCCAAGACATCAGGCGACGGTTTGACAGCAGCGGAGCGGATGATGATGAAGACGGGGTGGAAGGCAGGGCAGGGGCTGGGCAAGCAGGAGCAGGGCATCACCACGCCACTCACGGCAAAGAAGACTGGCAAACATGGAGGAGTGATTGTTGCTGCAAGCCCACTGAAGACAGGGGGTGGGGGGGAGGGAGGGGAGAATAATGCGGCTGGTGCTGGTGGGAAGAGGGCGAAGCTGGGTGGGGTGGCACTGAATGGGCCTCCTTCTAAGGTGGTCCTACTATGGAACATGGTACGTTTGCTGCTCCTTTCGATTTTGACAAGGAATGCATGAGGGAAAAGTGGCGTCATTTTAAGACACTGTGCTGATATGCTGGCTCTTAGTTTTGTCCTTTCAGGTTGGTCCAGGAGAGGTGGATGAGGAGTTGGAAGAGGAAGTGGCAGGTGAGTGTCTCAAGTATGGAACTGTAATGCGCGTGCTTATATTTGAGATCACGGACCCTTCCTGTCGACCAGTGGAAGCCGTTCGCATATTCATCACATTCGATCGGACGGAGTCTGCTACGAAGGCACTCGTCGACCTTGATGGACGATTCTTCGGCGAGAGAACATTACGAGCGTGCTTCTTTGATGAAGAGATATTTAAGAAGAATGGCCTAGCGCCAGTTGCAAATGAACCTCCTGTTCCTGACTTCAAGAAAGCCTAGTTATTTTGCTTGTTTTAGGTTTTACCTTAATGTTTTTTATGTGATACAAATTATCGATGATATGAGCTTTGTGTTGGTGCGTTGTGCATATTCCCTGTGGTAGATATGTTTGTAATGTGGACGGTCATGGGTTTTGGTTAGCGATGGGATGGAGGACCTTCATCAAAGCGAAGGGAGCTCATTTGTTTCAGCTCTCATGAATGCGTGATGTTCTCAAGCCTCAAGCAGCCTTGGGCATTTGGCTGTTGCTATCCCAAAAGCATGGCAACTCCGATAGCTGCGAGCTGGCAATTGTGTCGTTCCGCCATGATGACTCCTGATGAAAAAGTCTTACAGTCTGTGGAGAATAAGGAGGTGGGAAATGCAATTCGCTTATCTATTACCAGGCAGCGCGTTCGTATGGACTTACCCTCGTTGAATGCTGTGCAGCCAAGAAAGTCGACAGTCAAGGACCTCGCGAGAAAGTTTGACATAAAGCCTAGTTCATTGATTCAGGGTCCCGCAAAGGCCGTTTCTAGGGATCTTGACGTAAGCATTACCTCTTGCAAGGTTGCCGCCGTCGCTTTTGCTTGACTGAATGCATTACGTGACTGACAGGACGCTGATGGAAAACTGACCAAGTCGGAGCTGGAGGAACTGAAAACTCGTTTGGAGAAACTTCAGCTTCAGCTAGATGGAAGCCAGAGAGATGAAGTCGGTTCAATTCTGGAGATTGTGAGTTTCAGAAAGGCGAAGGGAATGGAGATTACATGCAACATTGGTATAGCCTAAGCGTTGTTTGTCAGGTTGGCAAGGCCTACAGCCGGAGGTCCAGCGATCGCTCGGAAAGCAAGTGGACGGAAATTCTGCTGAAGTCAGCAGACCTGCAAACTCAGGTTAGTGTAATCATTTCATGTTGCGGAAAAGCTCCTTCGCCAATGATATCCTAATTGTCGGAGCCGTGTACAGGGCGACGATGATGCGCTTCTGTCGCTGCTCGCGTCAAAGGGCGAAGAGGTTTCGCGCCTCAAGGCAGAAGTGATGGAGCTCAAGTCTCGGATGGCCGGCGAGCGGGGGATTATGAAATACGAGATCCAAGGAAATGAAGAGCTTGGGAGCCTCCTCTTCGTGGTTTCAATGTCTGATGATGTGGCGCACCCATCCCAGTGCAACATTCACTGGTATCGATCCAGCAAAGATGGGAAGCATACTCAGCTTATAATCGGTAATGCGCTATTGCGTTACCCTCTATCATTTGGACCGTACTAACAATGAAAGACTCGCATGTGCAGGAGCGGAAGGGACCATGTATGCAACTGAGCCTGAAGATCTCGGCTGCGTCATTCAGGCAGCTATAGAATCAGCAACAGCTTGTCAAGGAATCATGTTCCTTACTTCTGGGGAAATTCAACCAGGTCAGCAAGCCCTATATTGTAGGCACTTTGTGGTTGTCGCTGCTGCTGACCTTGAGGTTTAATTCCAGGGAGCATGTACGAGACGCTCCTTGCTCAGACATCTCTTCTCAATGACGTCCAATTTTCGGTACGCCTTCGCGTTGTTGCAAACTAACTCAAGAATGCTGGCCAAGTTGCGACTAAATCTATTGTGCAGGTCCTCATATGCAACAAAGATGGGAGCACTACTGCAGACGTAGATCAGGCTCAGCTGCGAATCAACAAAGCGCGGGTGAAGCTGGTCACTACCTCGAATTCTCTGATAAGGAGAGAGTCGTACAACCAGGCAATGCAGGTAGGCACCCTTTACTTGCAGGTATACCCTTTTTATGTTTTTTTCCAATGGGGGCCTGATGATAATGTGTGGCGTGGCAGTTTTATGGGCTTCGGTGGAGCACCAATTCTTCTTCTCTTGGTGCATGCTGGGTTCCACGCAAGGGTCTGAGCTTCAACCTCATGTTCCAGTCCATAACAGAACGGAACATAGCCATCCAAGTAGCAAGGACAAATGCGTGCAAGCTGAAGGTGAGAGTGACTTGGTTTGCACTCGTTGGAACTGCTTTCACCCGCTAATCCGTTTCTGTTTTTCAGATTGATGTGTCTGGGCCGGAGGGCCATTTTCATGGGCACGATAATTAACAGGGCAGGACTATTGTGCGTACAACTGTGGTGCGGCGGAGCAGCGTAGGGATGAGTCTGTAGGTCTTGTAGGAAACGAAATGCACAAAATTCAGGGAGAAAGTTGTGTGGAGACCCAATGCAATCCGGTGGGGTAATGGTATGGTTGGTGGTAGAGGATTATTCTGCAGTTTGAACAGATGCAACATCTGAAGTAGTTGGCAAGGATTTTGTATACACAGCAATATTCTAAATATAGAGTACATCAATGCAGTGTGTGCGGTTGTTACTACGGGAGGCCGGCCAGAGACATGTGACACAAGGAGTGTACCTGCCCCTGGTCAGTCCTCAATAGGATGAAGTGTATCACTGAAACCACAAAAGCCATGCATGCATGCAAGCCTTCCCCCAGTTACAGCTGCTTGAAGGCTTGATATGTCTCTGCGTGGGCGGGATCACCAATGCTGGCCTTGAGCCAGCACTCATTACCCCAGGTTGTCACAGCAAGGACACACTTGCTGTTGATTTTGCAGAGTGACAAACAGTCCAGGGGCTTGACAGGGTATTGATACTCCAGCGTCTCGCCGGATGGAAAATTGGTGGCCATGGGTGCTGGGGCAAAGCCATGGTCTGTTTCGGGGGAACAAGTCGGGGGGTTGGTTAGAGTGACGGATGGAGAAGGAAGGTTATAGGACCAATAGGTTATTTTTTAGTCGACTCAAAAGTCGCCATGGTCTGTTACAGGGGAACAAGTCGGGCGGTTGGTTAGAGTGAAGGATGGAGAAGGAAGGTCATAGGACCAATGCCTGAAGTGCAAATGAGGAGGCTGTAGAGGCTTACCACGTGGGTTGATGCAGCTTGAGCTGTTCTTTTCCTTGTTGACTTTGCAGATGAATGAGCCACAGCCACCATTGTTGAAGGAGCAAGAGCCAGACTGTGAAGCCAGAACATCCCAAAACTGCAGGCTAGTGTCCAGGTACTCCTTTTCAGATGTCGTATACACTGTGGGGCTGATGGTCAGATTGGTGCTCGGATCTTCGTAGCCCTCTGGTATCCACATCGACGTCTGCTGCTTCTTCATGTAGTAGGAGGCAACAACGCTGCTGGCACAGACGCCACTGGAGCAGGTTCCTGCATAGGAATTCCCTCCATTGCCAAAGTCAGTGCAGGTAGCGCCGTCCGCCTGAACTGCCGCAGCGCCACACTTGCCATTGACACAGGATCCTGCCATGGTGCACGCCTGTGCACTGACAGTGTAACACTTGATACAGTTCACTGCAATGCGCATGGATGGGGAGGAATCAAACAAGAAAAGAATCGCACAAAAAGAGTTATTCTGTGGAACAAGAAAACTGAATGCTTGACAAGTAACCAGGAGAAGCAGCAACACCCACCTTTCCCACATGGCAGATGGCCGAACTGTAGCATGAAATCAACGGCCCCCGTTGGATCAAACTTCGCAGCATCCTCCAGATTAATCGTGAAATCCAAGAATCCCAGCGTCCCAACCAACCCTTTCCCCGTCTTCAGCGCATGCTCCGAAAGCACATAGTGGGACTGCTTGTATTCTGCCAATTCTGCTGCCTTATCCTCGGTTTTAGGATCCACAAATGTCACCGTGCTGCGATCGTTCCCCTGAGCCGGCTTGGCGTAGCTAGCGATGAATAGGGCGTTGAGAGCACGGCTGGTTATCGTTTTTTGGACGATGGCTTTGAAATCGGAACGCTTTTTTAGGCGTGCTAACGCTGGTGGGAAGATCTTTTTCCAAAACTGGGAAACAGGAAGAGAAAAAAGGCAGCGAAAGAAAAGGTAGAGAAGGTAGCAGAGGAGTAAGATGGGAGAACACACATGGATGTATGTATGTATGTGAAATGCAATAGCAGCACATTAAGTACAGGTAAAAAGAACAACAGCAATTCATATGCCATTGACTCACTGCTGACAACTTCTCTGCTACAGAGAAGGCGGGGTCGATAAAGGGGTCGACTGCTGGTAGCTTGACCTTGTACGTCAGAAACGTTACTGCGCTAGCCTGTAACGAGGATGAGGAAGGGGTGGGAAAGGAAGAACAAGCAATGAATGATCTGGCCTTAGGGCGTGCCAGGACGCCAGAGAGCCCTGCATGTGGAATGTACGGGGAGGGGGGGAGCGGGATGGTCTGCCTGCGTCACTGTCTGGGTTAGTTTTTTTTGTAGTTTTTTTTTTTTTTTTTTACACCCCGGCCTGACTGTCTGGGCTAGTGTATCCTCTGTTTTGAGCAGCCAAGTTGGTGCATTATTAACCTTGAGAGCCTGTCAAACTCGAGAGTACCTGCTTCCACAGCGTCTTGATGCACATGTTGATGCTGGGGGAGCAGCCGCCAAGTAGGTACTTTTAAGAATCCTCGAAAACACCGTGCTGGGGGAGCAGCCGCCAAGGGTACTGGGCCAACATCTTGACGCACCTGCACTGATTGTACTACATGGCATGCTGTTGCAGAGCCTACCCTGCCCATCTGCTTCCACAGCGTCTTGATGCACATCTTGGTGCTGGGGGAGCAGCCATAGGCGCATGGATAACCCACTCTTGTTCCTTCGGCAAAGCTCTGGCCTTAAGCGAAGCTCTCTCTTTAAGCGAAGCTCTCTCTTTAAGCGAAGCTCTGGCCTTAAGAGAAGCTCTCTGACTCTAGGGGGACCCACCTGCTTCCAAAGCGTCTTGATGCACATCTTGGTGCTGGGGGAGCAGCCCAGTAGGTAAGCACCTGCACTGTTCCAATACCTGCTTCCATCGTCTAGGCATGCACCTGCTTGGGTACTGCCTACTGCCCACCTGCTTCCAGAGCGTCTTGATGCACATCTTGGTGCTGGGGGAGCAGCCATAGGCGCAATTCACCCACTTCCCGCCGAACGCCGGGCAGCTGCGCAAACACATCTGCAGCCCGAGCGGAAAAAAAAAAAAAAAAAAAAAAAAAAAAGAGACATGGATTGGGGCAGTGAGCTTCAAGGGGAAAAGGGGCAGTCCCACAAGCACATCTGCAGCCCGAGAGGGGGAATGGGGCAGAAAGGAGACGCATGGAGCATGGGGCATGGGGAAGGGGGAAATGGAGTAGGGGGAAGGGGGAAGGGGGAAATGGAGTATGGGGAAGGGGGAAGGGGGAAATGGAGTGGGGAAGGGGGAAGAGGGAAATGGAGTATGGGGAAGGGGGAAGGGGGAAATGGAGTATGGGGAAGGGGGAAGGGGGAAATGGAGTATGGGGAAGAGGGAAGGGGGAAATGGAGTATGGGGAAGGGGGAAGGGGGAAATGGAGTATGGGGAAGGGGGAAGGGGGAAATGGAGTATGGGGAAGGGGGAAGGGGGAAATGCAGTATGGGGAAGGGGGAAGGGGGAAATGCAGTATGGGGAAGGGGGAAGGGGGACACGGGAGCGGGAATATCCCGAGGGGGAACTTCCCCCTTGAAGGGGCTGTGTGGTGCTTCCGCTTCGCCCCCGCCCTCTCCCCGTCCCCTTACTCTCACCGCGCTGATTTCGCTGTTCGTCGGGCCACCCGCGCATTTCGCCCCGGAGGGCAGCCCTGCGGCGCGCATGCGTAGCCCCAGGAGAGGAACGAGCGGGAGGGGGGGGGGGGGGGGAGGGGGGGAAGGAAGAGGAGGGGGAGAGGAAGGGGAGAGGGGAGGAGAGGAGGAGGGGAGGGGGGGGACTGGGGGGAAGTGAGGGGGGTGGGACTTACCGGTCCGATTCCGCGGAACGTTTTCCGGCAGGCCTGTGAAGGCATGCGCGCATAGGACTCGCGGTAGCAGAACATATACATGTTGGTGTAGTTAAACTTCAGACTAAGGTCCGCGCGCCGGTGCAAGTGCGGCGCCTTGGGCAGAATCTCGCGGAATCTGCCCTCGCCGCGGAATCCGCCGTGAAGCGCGCCGGGATACGCGGAAGAAGCGTCTGGGGCTAGTATTTGATTGCGCGTTGCGACGGGAAGGGAAGGGAAAGGGGAGGCGTGGGTAATGGCGAGAACGGAGCTGACGCAAGCGAGGAGAGTGATGACGTGGCACGTGAAGGATCGCTTTCGAAGGGACGACGGGCTAAAACTGCGGCGCGTCGCGGTGGTCATTGTCATGCTGCTTATAGCGAGTGTCACGATTTTGCACTAAAGGGTACAACGATTAGTATCTGTACTTCAGTCTAAGTGACGGTTCGGATGAAACACCTGCGCAAGGAACTACGCTGCTTCAGTCGACTTGACTGATCGGATTAATTGCGTCCTGGCTTGGGCGAAGCGGAGTTAGATAGACTGGATATAGAATGGGTGAGACTTCGCAAGCCGCGGAGCAGAGGTACAAATGCCTCCCTTGGGGCCCAGGAAATAGCCGCCTTAGGAATCGTAGGCGCGGAGCGTAGTAGGTACGGCGCGCAAGCGTGTGTGTGCCTCGTAAAAGCGAGGGAAGGGAACGATCCAGCTGAAGGAAATGTGGAGACTGGACTGGGGCGACTCAATCGGAAGAAGTGAGGCCTTTACTAGCTAGCTAGGCTTGTCAACCGACAGAGATGAGATCACTGTACAGAGCAGTCGACCAGTCGAGCGAGAGAAACGACGCACCAAGAGGTGGAAAGTTGGGGGGGGGGGGGGGAAGGAAAGGGAGCGAGGGAAGTGGTGGCTACGCTGTGGCCTAGGTCCCCCAGCGGCGGCGGGCGCGGGGCGGGATAAAGACCATGGCTTTTAGTGTGTCTGGCTGGAGCAATGAGGGGAGAGGGAGGGGGAGGGGGGAGAGGGGGGCTAATTTCTGGCTGGGTTGTTTTGGATACTGCAGAGCTCTGGATGGGTGGCTGCGGGTTGAGGAAGTTTTTGGATGGGTGCGGTGAGGTTTACGGGTGGGTTGTTGGAATGGTTTGCAGCATGGTGGTGGTAGTGGGGGAAGACGACGATGTGCCAGTGGGAGGAAAAAGCTGCACCGAAGCGCGGATGTCCTTGGATGTCGCGGAAAAATGTTGGCTGATAGGGCCACGGGCAGGTGCCTTTCAAGTGTTTTTACCTTTGAGAGTTTTATCCCCGCCTCGCAGATTGCATCTCCCAATTCGGTCATCCAGAAGTTGAGCACAAGGCGGTTTCAAGTGTGATTCATGGGGACCGATGTTTAGGGAATAGTTTCTAGCTGGGCAGGTAGTGTTGGAAGCGCAGAGATGCGTGAAATTGGCATATCGAGGCTATGCGACCCGAAACATGTTGAAAGTCGCAGGGGCTCTCATTGGGCGAGAGAGGCGCAAGCTGCAAATGTTCATTGGACGACGACATCGACTGTGTGAGGGTGTTGCTCCAAGGGTTGCTGCTGATTTGGCCAGGGTGCTGAGTACCGTCGCAGAGAATGTTGGCTGGGCTAGCGAACAGCTAAACTATGGGTGAAGACTTCATAGGCTTTCCGTTAGGTCCACCGACGGCACCCCACTCGTCTAGGTGCGGTTGAACGAAAGGCTGACCGGTAGCATTAGAGTAACAGCACTTTGTGGATGGAATATGGGAATCGGAATGATGTATATGAGATTCTTTACAGTAAGTGTCTGTCGTTCGATCAACGACTATTGTTATGAATGAACAAGCAGAGTAGCGCGGAAATGAATAACGAAATGTTCACTCACTGAATGACGATACAAGGAATGGCAAGCCAAGATATAGAAACACCAGAGCTAGTCTAACCATGCGATGGTGAGGTTCGAGAAAGAGATCGAAGGGTCTCGAAGTGACGAAGCGAGGCCCGGAGAACTCCCGAAGGTCGAACTAGCAGGTCTGGAGAAGCCGAGGCGGTTCTGTCAGAAATGTCTGGAACATTCCCGAGGCTTCGGGTGTGTTTGAGCGTACGCGATAGCAGTACCGCTCGGTAAGGAATGGAAAAATCCTTACAACTATGTTAGCCGGGCTACTTCGTACTTGTACGCATGTTACATGACGAAACTGATATCTGTAGGTCGCGAAAGCCTCGCCGGCAATGTCATAGAATTCCCCACGATCCACGTCTTGCTGACGAAGTCTGGCCCATTCTCTGAGTCAATTACGCCCAGCCCCGCATGCGCTGGCACTTTGACGGGGCTAACTTTGCCCTATCACCAGCAACCCCCAACCACGCGGAACGTCACGAAATCCATCGCCACGTCGCAGCTGGGACCACTCTGGGCATGGCTGACATGACAGTTTCGCCCCACGCCCTGCCTGTACAGTACTAGGGATTTTTTGACACGGACCCATCAACCGATCTCAAGGTTGCCTGCTGCTGACGAAGGGGGAACACCTAGGAATCTAAGGGATAGCCGTAGTCTCCATTCTTTAGACTAATGTTTCTTTTCGACGCAGCAGCCAATCTTAGTGACAGTCCCCCTACGCCTTGTCGGTTTCACATCAGCACAGACAAGGCTGGTGGTCTGTCTTTGTGCAGAAAGACTCCAGTCGTCTACTGCTGCCTAAGCAGTGTTCTGCTGCGTTTCCAGCCCGTCGAGCCGTGGATTTTGCGCGTGATTTACCGGCAACCATGGACCGCCTAGCCGTCATTTCCGGGCATCTGTGTCCTCCAAGGCGCGACGAGGAAGAGCAGCAAGGTGAGCCTCCCTCTGAGGCGTCGCATGAACTCGCAGATTCGTCCTCTAAACTACAGCTGCCTCGAATAACTTGAAATCACGAGTAAATCTACTCCACCCTGATGGGTAACGTCGCATGAAATTGCGGGTTCGTCGCGTAAACGACGATTTGCTTTTCTCAGCTTTTCGAAATTTCGACCATCCTGATGCGCAACTTCGCGCCTACTTACCATTTGCGAAACGCATCACAGATTTTCGTTATATTTTATCCCCTTTTCTAACGGATTTTTCGTTTCAGATGCACGGACTCTCGCACCGTCGCCAACGCTGTCGTTCGTCAACACGGCGGATCCGCCGTCAACTTTCACGCAGGCCCAGCCAGCCACCGTCTTCCCGCCGTCCAAGTCGGACTACTTCGGCCTGAGCGACCTGCTGACGCCGGACCAACAGGCTCTCCGGCTGCGAGTCCGCGAGTTCATGGAGCGAGTCGTCGCCCCCGTCGCTCCAGCGGTAAGGCGATTGAGGGTAGAGTGCGTGCTGAGGGGTTTCAAGGGAGAGTGCGTGCTGAGGGGATTGAGGGGAGAGTGGCAGGGTGTTTTTGAGAATTCAAACAACACCCGGCCGACCAGCAGGCTCTCCGGCTGCGAGTCCGCGAGTTCATGGAGAAAGTCGTCGCTCCCGTCGCTCCTCAAGGAAGGGTTGGAGGGAGAGAGCACGCTGCTGCTGCCTGTACACCGTCTTCAATGTTCAATCTGACATCAGTCCGTGTCAGATTGAAGATCCTTTTGTTACTGTCAATATCCATCCACTCTCTTTCACGGACTCAGACATTGTCCCAGTCAGTTTCGCTCCTGGCTTCATTCTGTGTCCTGCGTTGTTCCTTGAATCTCCTTGGGATTATCATCGCCTGTGCAGTACTGGGAGAAGGCGGAGTTCCCGCACGAGTTGGTACCCAAGATTGCCACGCTCAAGCTGGCTGGCACGACCATCAAGGTGAATAATCTAGTGGTTTAAAAGGGTGACGAAACGGTGTAAGGTTGGAGGAGGAATGCTGCCGGTCCAGTTTTGGTCAATGACTGGTGGCCAGCGTCCTTGCGTCTGACTCTCTCGCCTCGCTTGTTTGCATTGCATTGACATCACGTTGGGCTTCTCTCAGGGCTACGGGTGTCCTGTCAGTGACAGCGGCAGGGATAGCAGCTCGTGTGCTCGCGTCTCAATCTCGCTCTCTTGACCATGCGTATTCACCTGTCCATGCGTCTGTCCGTTCAGGGCTACGGGTGTCCGGGCCTGTCTATGACGGCAGCAGGACTGGCAGCAGCGGAGCTGGCACGAGTGGATGCGAGCTGCGCGACCTTCATTCTCGTGCACAGCTGCCTTGGCATGCTCACCATCGGTGAGTAGGTGTGCTGTATCAATGATAAGGGTTGAACACATTGTTAGCCCTGCGTCAGCATGCCATTGCTTTTGAGGTCTGGAGTTGGCTCGAGAGTAGATGCGAGCTGCGCCACCTTCGTTCTCGTGCACGCAGCTGCCTTGGCACGCTCACCATCGGTACGTAAACGTGCTTTGTCAAGGTGGCACAGCCGCCTTGGCATGCTCACCATTGGTGAGTGTGCTGTGTTAGAGTGCCTGGGTCTGTATCTGTTCCCTTGCCCTGCTTCCACGTTTTCATTTGCCCTTGTCTCAACTTGCCCCACTTGCCCATTTGTGAGCAGCGCTGTGCGGCAGCTAGTTGAACTGGTTTTTGAGAGTTTTCCGAAACAAGTCAATTCATTCGCCCTTGTCTCTACTTGCCCACTTGCCCGAATGTGCACAGCGCTGTGCGGCAGTGAGGAGCAGAAGCAAAGGGATCTGCCGCAACTAGCAGAGCTCAAGAAAATCGCCTGCTGGGTGAGTGGCTTGTGAAGGGTGCGTCTTGTTGGTTAAGTCCGGGGTGATGGGCGTTTCTTGTTGGTTAAGTTCTGGGTGATGGGCGTTTCTTGTTGGTTAAGCACTGTGCGGCAGTGAGGAGCAGAAGCAGAGGGACCTGCCGCAACTAGCAGAACTAATGAAGATCGACTGCTGGGTGAGTGGCCTGTGCTGGCTGGGCCCTGCTCTCACTGTCTGACGCCCCCATTCTTCTCCAGAGTGCCGCCTCTTCCACCAATTTCAGTTTCTTCTAGTCTCATGGCCTGTCTGGGCATGTCCGGGCTGTCCCTCCCCATGCAATCACACTGCACTCCGTGCGTTCCTCATCTTCCTCGCCCCAGTGTTTCACAGTACCGAGCACCCTCTTACCTTCTTCCCCCCTGCTAATCTTGGCCTTTCCCCCTCTCCGTAGGGCCTGACGGAGCCTGACTATGGCAGTGACGCCAGTGCACTGGCCACTACAGCGCGCAGGGTGCAGGGCGGGTGGGTTCTCAACAGCTCTACCCGTTGCCCTTGTTTCCTCCCACTTCCAGGGCCTAACCGAGCCGGACTACGGCAGTGACGCCAGTGCACTGACAACTACAGCGCGCAGGGTGCAGGGCGGGTGGGTGCTCAACGGTTTCAAGCGGTGGATCGGCAACAGCACCTTTGCTGACGTCATCATCATCTTTGCCCGCAACACGTCCACCAATCAGGTCAACGGGTGAGTAGCACCGTCAATCCCATTGCCCCGTTTCTCACCCAGGCTCCATGACCTGGCTCTTTGGCTTTGCTGTGTCAAGCTTTTCTATACGGCTGTGCCTCGTTTGCTCCCTCGTTAGTAGCAGCCCCGCTTCGCTTTTCAACTTTCGTACAAGAGCCAATTCGGTCACTCACCATTCCTTTCCCTCGCCCTTCCTACTCCTCCCTATGGCAGTTTCATCGTTCGCAAGGGTGCAGCGGGGTACAGTGCGGTGAAGATGGAGAACAAGATTGGGCTGCGCATAGTGCAGAACGGGGATATCACTCTCAAGGACGTCTTTGTGCCTGACTGCGACAGGCTGCCAGGGGTCAACTCCTTCCAGGACACCAACAAGGTGAGAGGAGATTTAACAGGGTAGAGTGCGATCCAGTGCAGTGCAATGCTGTAAGAATAGGTTTGCGCATGGTGCAGAATGGGGATATCACCCTCAGCGATGTCTTTGTGCCTGACTGCTACAGGCTGCCAGGGGTCAACTCGTTCCAGGATACCAACAAGGTGAGAGGAGTTGGTGCGGTGCTGTGCAATATGGGTGGCGCAAAGCCATTTCACCATGACTCACTCCCCTTCACCCCCCTTCTATCCCTCAGGTCCTTGCGGTATCCCGAGTGATGATGTCCTGGCTGCCGGTCGGCATGTGAATGGGCATCTACGACATCTGCCTGCGCTACCTGCAGCAGCGGCACTAGCAGCAGAAGTACTGCCAGCAGCAAACAAACCACTCCCTGTTCCTCTTACTGTCTCCTTTCAACACCTGCTTCAGGTCCTGGCCGTATCCCGGGTCATGGTGTCGTGGCTGCCAGTGGGCATGTGCATGGGCATCTACGACATCTGCCTGCGCTACCTGCAGCAGCGCACGCAGTTCGGCACCTCCCTCGCGTCCTTCCAGCTGTGCCAGGAGAAGCTCGTCCGCATACTGGGCAACGTGCAGGCCATGTCGCTGCTGGCCTGGCGCCTTTCCAAACTATATGACGAGGGCAAGATGACGGCGGGGCATGCGAGCATGGCCAAGGCGTGGATCACCCTGCGAGCCAGGGAAACAGCAGCGCTTGGGAGGGAGCTGCTGGGGGGGAACGGGATTCTGGCAGAGTTCCTTGTGGCAAAGGTGAGGCGGGTGTGGGGGATAGGGGTGGGGGAGTGTGTGTGCCAGGCACAGTAGATGATGGGGCGGGCATGCAGGGCCAGAGAGAGAGCAGTACTGGGGGTGATGGAAGGGGGAGAATCGGCATTCTGGCAGAGTTTCTCGTGGCAAAGGTGAGGCGGGTGTGCAGGATAGGGATGTATGAGTGTGTGTTTTAGGCACAGAGGGTGATGGGGCGGGCATGCAGGGCCAGAGTGACAACATTGTTCTCCCCCCCTCCCCTCCCTTTCCTCCCCTAACCTCCTCCGCGCAGCACTTCTGCGACATGGAGCCATTCTACATGTATGGAGGCACGTGCGATGTGAACGCACTTGTGACTCAATCAAGAAGCACCACTTGTTCTCCCCCCCTCCCTCCCTCCCTTTCCTCCCCTAACCCACACCGCCCAGCATTTCTGCGACATGGAGCCCATCTACACGTATGAAGGCACGTACGACGTGAACGCGCTTGTGACGGGGCGAGATGTGACTGGCATTGCCAGCATCAAAGCCCCTCCTAGTCGCAAGGCCAGGGACAACGGGAAGGGCATGCTGTGAAAAGAAGCTTTCGTGGGGAGGGGAGGAGAGGGGAAGAGAGGGGAGGGGAGGGGAGGAGAAGTGAGGGGACGGCAAGGGAGGGAGGAGAGGATGTGAACACGCTTGTGACGGGGCAGGAGGGTACAGGTGTTCCCAGCATCAAAGCCCCTCCTAGTCGCAAGGCCAAGGACAATGGGAAGAGCGGGTTTCTCAGGAGGAGATGGAAGGGTGGGCGTGCAGTGAAATGGAACGATGGAATCTTGTATAAGTTTGTCTGAGGTGATTTCGCTAGGGAGTGAATCAGAGTTGCTTGTGTGTACTTGCTGTACAGTTTTCATCCTGCTACAAGTGTATGTAAGATGTACCTGGTATTGCTGCATTTGCTGCTATTCTCCCTAATATGGTAGAAGCAGGTGAAGGTTTTGGCCTGTTTTTGTACTTTCCTTGCCATGGTAGCGTAACAGCCATGTGGTCGCCATACGTGGAGTCCTACAGCAAGAACTATTCAGCCACAGCAATTGCAAGCAGAGGCCAACATGGTTCATAAGTGTGGTACATGTCATCTCTTATACTACAACTCGCGTCTCCAATCCCAACCGTGTAAGACAACCCACCAGTGGGAAAACAACACATTAGTAAGACAGCTGAAAACATTACTCGATCGTTTCATGGATTTACTGTACCACATGCCCTCTAATGTGCATCGAGTGCGCCTTTAGAAAGTGCTTGAACCAGAGGGCAGACGCTTTGGGGAATCTTGGAAGGGCAGGGTCTGTGAAGTTGACATAGACCGCTCCGAACCGCTCTGAAAACCCCATGGCCCACTCCCAGTTGTCCAGCAAGGACCACGCATAGTACCCCTGCACTGGCACGCCTTGGCTGCAAAGGGGAGGAAAGGGAGAGGGAGAAGGGAATGCGTGTACTGGGGGCATATACCATGGATGCGAGGGCATTGTGATTCATGACCTAAATGACCTTCAAGGCCCACTCCCAGTTGTCCAGCAACGACCATGCATAGTAGTGCCTCTGTACTGGCTGGCACGCCTTGCCTGCAAAGAGAAGACGGGACAAGAGCAGAAGGGACAAGAGACGAAGGGACAAGAGACGAACCGAGAGATGAGGACACAGGGGATATGTGCGAGAGGTGAAGGATGGAGGACCACAAAGAGAACCCACTGCACACACCGCACCGCACCGCTGAACGGATAGATGGATGGATGGATGGATGGATGGATGGATGGATACGAGATTATATCCGAACGCACCGCTTGGCCTGAAGCACATTAGAGAGTAAGGAGCGGCAGAACTGGACCTTGTGATCGTCAGAGAGCGAAATAGAGAGTGAGCGAGTGAGAGGCGAACGAGACGGTACGCACCGCTTGGCCTGGAGTATGTTGGAGAGGTAGGGAGCGGTAGAAGCGAGCCGGCTGGTCGTGAGAGGGAGAGAGGAATGGAGAGAGGGCGATCGAGAGATAGGAGCAATCGACCGTCACAAGAGGTGAACGCACCGCTTGGCTTGGAGTATGTTGGAGAGGTAGGAGCGGTAGAACCGGACCCTCTGATCGTCACAGAGCAAGCGGACAAGAGAGCGAGAGGGTATGTTGGGCTCACTCATTCCTGCAGTGCAAGACAGAGGAAGAAGCAGATAGGTATGTATGGATAATGGAGGAACCACGTTTCTTAGGTGGCCACCACCTGCGTATGTTAGAGGCGCCTAAGAAGCAAATAGCTACACTACACTGCATACGTTGGGAGCATTGCAAGGGTGAACAGATGTAACTTCAGGGGTATTTGCTCCACAGATGCTGCTTTTAGTATATGGTAACATGTGTTACCAATATAAGGTTACCGTTTGAGGCGCCTCAAAAGTGTTACCAATATAAGGTTACCGTTTTCTGTGATGATGATGGGGACGGCGGGGTATCTGTGGCTGATCCACGTCAGCATGTGCTGGACTGCTGATGGCACCACGTGCAACCATGATGACGCTGTGCGCTCCCCTATAAGCTTCCCCGTTACAGGAGAAACAGCTGGAAGGATGATTGCAAGTGGGTACAAGGGTTAACGGTGTATGGGGATTGGGTGAGGAGAAGGGGGGTGGGGAGGGCAGGAGAGGAGAGGGGGTGGGTAGAAGGGTTGAATGAGAAAGAGAGATTCCATTGACCTGGAGGAAGTGTAACGGGCTTATGTGGCACTCACCTGTCATGTCCACGTGGCAGTCCACCCAAGGAGCCACTCCAGCTGCCACGTCAGCCGTCTCTCCAGCCCCGGCTGTGTTTTGCGCAGCGAACTGTGCAGTGTAGAAGTTGAGGCCCAGGAAATCTGAGGAGCCGATCAGCAGCGAGGATTCGGCGGCAGAAAAGGACGGCAGACGCGAGCCGACAGCCTGGCGCATGGAGGGAGGGTAGTCTCCGGTAAATAGGGGGTCCGCGAACCTGAGGGAAGAAACAGAGAAGGAGAGAAGGTGAGTATAGGGGGGTTAAAACGTGGGGTATGCGTGCCTATGCGTCCTGATACCAGTTTTTTGGTGCCTGAAAAGCATAGACCAGTGGAAAGACAAACCAGCCCACCGCGCAAAGGCGAACTCCATTCCTCTTTCCGCTGCGTCGCAACTCCCTTCTGTCCCATCAGCCAGGGTTAGAAACAGCGTGATAGGAGTCTAGTTTTGAGGCGCCTCAAAACTAGACTCCTATCACGCAGCTTCTGTCCCATCAGCCAGGAACAGAAACACACAGTCCAGTGTCAGCCTATGCGCCTAGATACCAGCCTGTGTTGACAGCAACCTGGGAGGTTGAATGGCTTACCATGCGAAGGCGAACTCCATTCCCCGCTCTGCTGCTGCCTCACTCCCAGGAGTCTGGTCAGCCGGGTACAGAAACACACAGTCCACTGTCATCCCTATGCGGCCGTGCTCTCCATTCTCTTTCACTCTCTGCCTCCCATGCCTGGATCGGTAAACCTCCACAGCAGCAGCATGGGCCCGGAGAATGTTGTGAGCCACTATGTATGGCTCGGCTGCTGAGTCGCCCGTCTCACACACCGAGCGGTTAGAGCAGCGGCCGGGAGCCATGGTGCCGTAGCCGTGCCCCTGCACGGCCGTCTGCTGGGGCTCGTTGAAGGTTATCCACGTCTGTACGCGGCCTCCAAAGCGGGAGAAGCAGACATCCGCATAGCGTACAAAGGCGGCCCTGGAGAGTTGGGAGATACAAAAAAAACAAGATTTGAGTTTGGAAGGGAGATCTGCTGTTGCTCTAGCCCTGCACTGCCGTCTGCCGGGCCTCGTTGAAGGTGATCCAAGTCTGCACACGGTCTCCAAGGCGGGAGAATCAGACATCCGCGTAGCGGGTAAAGGCGTCCCTGTGGGGTACATGTTTTTGGGAGGTACGCGGCAGAGTGAAACCGGGGGGAGTTTCTATAGGGACTCGACCTTTGCGCAATGTGAGTGGCTGGAGCAGCGCCCTCGGCACACAAGCGCACTCATAATCCCCCCCTTATGCACCCCCCCCTAGGCATACACCCCTGAGCGTACCCCCTCTATACATCCCCCCCTATGCATTCCCCCCCTACGCATCCCCCCTTATGCACCCCCCCTCTGCAACCCCCCCATGCCTCTCTCGCCCGGTAGGCCGCCTCTTACGCCCGGTAGGCCTCCTCTCTCGCTCGGTAGGCCACCTCTCTCTCGAGGTAGGCCTCCTCTCTCGCCTCGTAGGCCTCCTCCCTCACCCGGTAGGCCTCCTCTCTCGCCCAGTAGGCCTCCTCTCTCGCCGGTGGGCTTGCTCTCTCGCTCGGTAGGCCTCCTCTCTCGCTCGGTACGCCTCCTCTCTCACCGGTAGGCCTCCTCTCTCGCCCGGTAGGCCTCCTCTCTCGCCCGGTAGGCCTGCTCTCTCGCTCAGTAGGCCTCCTCTCTCGCTCGGTAGGCCTCCTCTCTCACTGGTAGGCCTCCTCTCTCTCCCGGTAGGCCTCCTCTCTCGCCCGGTAGGCCTCCTCTCTCGCCCGGTAGGCCTCCTCTCTCGCCCGGTAGGCCTCCTCCCTCGCCCGGTAGGCCTCCTCTCTCGCCCCGTAGGCCTCCTCTCTCGCCCGGTAGCCCTCCTTTCTCGCCCGGTAGGCCTCCACTCTCGCCCGGTAGGCCTCCTCCCTCGCCCGGTAGGCCCCCTCTCTCGCCCGGTAGGCCTCCTCTCTCGCCCGCCCAGTAGGCCTCCTCTCTCGCCCGGTAGGCCGCCTCTCTTGCTCAGTAGGCCTCCTCTCTCGCCATGTAGGCCTCCTCTCTCGCCCGGTAGGCCTCCTCCCTCGCCCGGTAGGCCTCCTCTCTCGCCCGGTAGGCCTCCTCTCTCGCCCAGTAGGCCTCCTTCCTCGCCCGGTAGGCCTCCTCTCTCGCTCGGTAGGCCTCCTCTCTCGCCCGGTAGGCCTCCTCTCTTGCTCGGTAGGCCTCCTCTCTCGCCCAGTAGGCCTCCTCTCTCGTCCGGTAGGCCTCCTCTCTCGCTCCCCCCTATGCATTATAGCATGAATGACTATCCACTCACACAATGGGTTTGATACAATGGGTTTGGTAATGGGCATGGAGCATAGCTAGTGCAGGAATGTCTATCCACTCACACAATGGTTTTGGTAATGGGCATGGAGCATAGCTAGTGCAGGAATGTCTATCCACTCACACAATGCTCGCGTTGAGCCAGCCCCCGTGCGGTTGATGCAGGGCCGAGGGCAGGTCCCAGTGGTACAGCGTGACAGCTGGCGCGATGCCATTGGCCAGCAGCTCGTCTATCAGGTTGCTGTAGTGCTGTATTCCGGCCTCATTCACTGCGCCCATGCCGTCTGTTGCAATGAGAGGGTGGAGGATGAAGGGAGAGCAGTGAGTGTTGGCCAGCAGCTCCTATATCAGGTTGCTGCAGTGCTGGATTCCGGCCTCATTCACTGCGCCCATGCCATCTGTTGCAATGAGAGGGAGGAGGGAAAGCGAGGGGAGAACGGAGAGCATTGAGTTTTGGCCCTGCCTCCTTTACTGGACCCGTGCCATCTGTTAAAGGGGGGAAGGGAGAGCAGTGAGTATTGGACGTGTGCCATCTGTTAAGGCGGGGGAGGGGGGTGGAGAAGTGGGGAATGAAGAGATCGCAGTGAGTGTAGGCCAGCAGCTCGCATATGAGGCTGCTGTAGTGCTGTATTCCGGCCTCATTCACTGGGCCCACACCGCCTGTTGTGATGAGAGAGAGGGGGAGAAGTGGGGGGAGAGGAGAAGGGAGAGAAGAGAGCAGAGGATGCTGTACTGAGCGCTGAGCATTGGCCAGCATCTCGTCAATGAGGTGACTTTTGAGTCGACCCAAAAGGCCCGCATCTCGTCAATGAGGGGAGGGGGGAAAGGCCAACTAGGGGGGTGAAAATGTTGACTGGTTTGATTCACGTTGACTGGGTTGACTCGCGTTGACTGGGTTGACTCGCGTTGACTGAGTTGACTCACCAGGGATGATTCGAGACCAGGAGATGGAGAAGCGGTAGGAGGATGCCCCCATGGCCTTGAGCAGCGCCACGTCATCCTGATGAAGTTTACAAGCACACAGTCAGCAAGCAAACTCACATAAGCACCCCTCCCTCCTTCCTCACGCACACATTCACAGTCACATCCCCCCTCCCCTCCCTCCGCTCCCACCCCAACACACACACATGCATGCACTCGCGAACGCGCACCAACATACAAGGAGTATGAGTACAGTACATAGCAGAAGTGACCACAAACTACTATATAATGCCTTAACATATGAGCACAATTTAATAATCTGGGCTTTGCATTGCAGTGTAGTTATTATTCTGACAAAAGGATGCCATGTATGTACCTTATATCGGTGAAACTGATCAGCTGTTACAGAAGGCTTGGATGCATCCTTGATCTTTCCTGGAAAAGCAGGCCATCAAGGCCCAATACAAGAAAAGAAAAGAACCCTTTTCAGAAAGACAATGAAAAAAATCGGTGGCCTTATTACTTCCAAGCACATCCCTCTCCCTTCCCTACCCCCCCATGCCCCCCTCTTTCCCCACACACCCCCAACCGCACCCCACCCCTCTTTTCGCTCTCCTTCCCCTTTCCGTATCTCTATCTCCCCCTTTCCCTCTTCCTATATCCCTCTTACCTGGCCTCTCCGCAAAGTCGTCCCATATGCTTCTTCCCCTTCCGCCTTCCGCCACCGCGCCTTCCACCTAGAGCGCGCGCACGGGGGAAAGGGCGGAAGGAGGTGAGCGGGGAAGAGGAGGGGGCGAGGGAGGGGAAAGGAAGGGCCACGGGGTGAGCAAGGGGGGGGAGTGGGTTTAGAAGATTGCAGAGCGGGGCAGATGGGGGATGGAGGCGGGAGGGGGAGAGAGATGGCGGGGAGAAGGGGGGGGGGTGGGGGGGAGGAAGATGGGGATGGGGGAGGGGGGGGGGGAGGGGAGAGTGGAGCGGAAGGAAGGGGAGAAGGGGGAGGCGGACGAAAAGAATTCATTATAGCAGGGATGCGGAGCCGGAGCACCAGTTCCCGTGCCACCTGGCATCTCTTGATCTGTGCCACGTGGCCTCACCTGAGCGGCGCTAGTAGCAAAACCAAACACAAAGTCCCCGCCAAAGTCGCTGGCGCGCAGCTCCCCTTCCTCCTGCGCGCCGTCTGTCAGCAATTCCAATGACGGACAACCCTGGGAGGAGAGGGAGTGAGTGAGTGAGCGAGTGTGCTTAAACGTTTTTGGCGCGCAGCTCCCCTTCCTCCGGCGCACTGTCAGCAATTCCAATGATGGACAAACCTGGGAGGAGAGGGAGTGCGCGAGGGAGGGAGTGAGTGAAGGGAGAGGGAGTGAGTGAAGGGAGAGGGAGTGAGTGGAGGGAGAGGGAGTGAGTGAGGGAGTGTGCTTAAAAGTCTTTGGCGCGCAGCTCCCCTTTCTCCTGCGCGCCAACTGTCAGAAATTCCAATGACACACGGCCCTGGCGGTATGCGAGCGCGAGAGGGGGAACGGGGCCGCAAAGGGGATTCGGAGGGATGTGCGGTGACGTGCGGTGATGTGCGGTGATGTGCGGTGATGTGCGGGGATGTTCTAGGAGCTGGGCTCGTGGTTGGACGCGTCATCGGGTAATGACGCCACTGATGATGAAGGCCTACTGCTGGCCGAAACGCGTTCGTCTACAACGGATCGAGTCCGAATCTCTTTTCAACGGTGATGTGCTACGGGTTGGGCTCGTGCTCGTGGCTGGACGCGTCATTGGAAAACAAAGGAGTTGGCGTGGGTGGGTGGGTGGGGAGAGGGCGGGGAGGGGGAGGAGAGAGGGGGAGGGAGGAGGGGTGCAGATCCAATAGTACTCACTCGCACAACTGCCCACTACATTGAGCATCTTTCTCGCTTGTAGTGAAGGCAACTTTTGAGTCGACAAAGTCACTCGCACAATTGCCCACTACCTTGAGTATCTTCTCGCTTGTAGTGAAGGCAGCTTCTGCTGCGGACGCACTCGAATCGCCAGCGAGGCTACTGATGGACCATTCGCTTTCTGGTTGATCCGAGAAGGCAGGAACGCCAGAATTCGCTGGCTCGAACGCAACCGGAGTAAGATCAGAACTATTTAAGAACGGAATCTCGTGAACATTAGTGGAGGCGACATCATCGGTATTGTCTGAATCAGGGACCAAGCTCGACGCTCTAAGCTGATCTCGTCTGAGAACGTCTTGCAGTATATCGGAGGCGCTACTATCGAGTATCAAGTGAGTCGATGCGCGCTCGTGAGCGAGAACCAGCGTAAGGCACGGTATCAGCCCCGCTAAGAGCACCAGCGTTACTATCGCAGCGCGCCGCATTTCCTGTCGAGCCATAAGCACGCCGATTCTGTTGCGAATACTGCCGACGCTGGCACTGCTGCTGCTGCTGCCGCCGCTGCTGCTGCTGCTGCTGCCGATGATGACAGTGGTGCTGCTGCGAGCGCGCATCCGCGGGGCTTTAGAACGGGAAGGTAACGCAGCTACTTGGCTTCTGGAAGCGCTACATGGCGGTGAGTGAAGGCCCTTCTAAAGGTCCTGCTTTAGCTGCTAAAGAAGATTAGCGTGCAGGAATGCTGTGTGCGGGAGGGAGGGGATGGACGAGAAAGCCCGGAAAGAGACGAGGGAGAGAGCAAGGGAGGGAGAGGGGGAGAGAGGAGCGAGACAGCGAGACAGTTAGGCAGGGAGGGAGTGGGGGAGGTAGGAAGGGAGGGGATGGATTCTTCTGAGCGGTCTCTGCGGTGTTCGAAAGAGCTTGGGTGTGTGAATACGGGGCAAGAATTGTGGCTGCCATGCAAATGCATTGCAACGGGGGCGAATTATGCCCCTCCGAAGTGGGCGATTGCGCCCCTCCGGCTTGGCGAACTCCCAAGAGCCAGTCGGGCTGAGCGGCGAACGGTTACTGCGTCTCGTTTAGCGCCTCTGGCGAAACGATGGGAGTCGACGATTGGATGCTGCTGGAGTGGATCCCCATGCGAGTCGCGTTGTAAGGCTGCAAATTGGCTGCCTAGGAAAAGGTTGGTGAAAAAAGTTAATCTGTAGCGAGGATGGATTGCGGAAATTTACGCTTGTACACCAAATGACGATGAAAAATCAGGAACTAAACGAGTGGAAAACATCCGTTCCACAAGAGAGGTAAATGTTAGGAAGACTCTTTGCACCTAAGGGACAAAATCCATTACGGATGCTCAAAGCATATCAGATTGCTCAACCTAAATGTTGTACACAGATGTCAATCATTGTTGTCCTACACAGCCTTCAACTGTCCCACTCTAAACAGTGCCAAAATAGCACAAGTCTGCAACGCCCAAGCTGCATTACACCACCAAGCGAGAAACATTGCCACCTCTCTTACTAAAAGAGGTGGCAACAACGACCCCTCCTTATCAAAAAGCGGATCCAACTCTGGCCCTCTGCTTCTCGCAATGCCCACCAGCAGGAGTGTGACTATAGGGAGCGCAGCAGACTGAATAGCAACTTTGCAGATGAAATAGTACGTCAGCTGCACACGTGCGTTTATCCAATGATAGGCCCACTCCTTACCAGAATGTAGCTGGTCATACCAGTACACCAGAGCAGTGTTGAGGTGGGACTGTACGGCAATGCGGAGAAGCAGGAGACGGGAAATTCCACTGAGGAGAATGGCTGCCACCTGGAACCACGCAATTGGGAGGCCGCTGCAAGGGCCAGTCACACTGGCTCCAAAGAGAGAGCCAAAGTAGGAACCAAGGTGGGGCAAAGTGCACACACCAACAGCAGCAGCAGTAGTAGCATTAGCAGCAGAAGCAGCACCGAGAGAACCAGCAGGAACAGCACCGGCACCACCACCACCTGTTACTGCACCGCTCCCAACCCCTCTGAAAGCAACAACAGGCTCGAAAACCTCTGTCAGGGGACGGATCCAGAGTGCTGCAGCGAGCACAGGAAGCACGAAGCTGACATTCCACAGAAGGGCGGACCAGAACCCCTGGTGGATGATCCCCGTGTCCCACGGCTGCTGGCTGGTGGACAGGTAGAAGCAGCGGACGAAACGGATCGCTGCAGGGAGGCTAAGCGCGCCGATGACCCCTGAGAAGAGCACCAGTGAGGTTTTGATGAAGGTCGGGGGGATGATGAATTCGGGGATGTTCTCTTTAGCGAGGCCCTTCGATTTGAAGTGATTAGTTATAGTCACGCCGGCCTTTTGGGCGACGGAGTCGAAGTCGAAGCCGGTGAGGGACGGAGGGAGCGCGAAGAGGATGAAACCCGTTATAAGACAACTCGCTATCCCGGCAAGAAGGCACTGCGTGAAATCAGCGGACCGGGTTGTGCTCCTGTCCCACTCTACAGAGGCCCAGTTCCGGACGATTTTCCAGAGAGCCACCGCTGCGAGGAGGAGCGGAATCATGCCGCCATGATCCATGAGGAAAAGACCAGTGGAAGACGAAGATAGATTCTGCTTCGGGGTGCTCTGATCTCCACTCTGCTGCTGCTGCTGGTTTTGCTGGTTGGTGAAAAATCCGCTTCCCTCAACGTACATCTCAATGACGGTCAGGATTTCCCGGGAAAACACCGCCATGATCCCTATGCAGGCGAACAGGATCGTTTCGTCGAATTCGCGAAAGAACTTTCGCGAATAGAGGTGACCCTCCTGCACGAGAATCCGCATCATCTTGCCGCTTGACTCGTCAAACTCCGGCTCATTGTTTTTTTTCCTGCCCTTGCTTCTGCCCGACCCGTTGGAAGCGGCCGACATGGGAACCCCGGCATTTTGATCTGTAAGCACGTAGACCTGCAGATGCCGGAGCAGACGGACCGGGAAACCGAACCGGACAACGAGGAAGCTTGTAACGAGGCAGACTACGGAGTAATAGATGACGCTGAATATCCCCAGCATCTTGATGTGTCGCTTCTGAGTCAAATATAGACAGTAGCTATCTGGATCCTAAAGACAGTACCTATCTGGATCCGCTCACGTAGGCTACAAGAGAAAGCGGAATTGCCGGAACGAGGTCTGAGAAGAAAACGGCCGACTGAAGGATGGCGAGCTAAATCAGGAATACGGCTGGATGGCATGAAGGGGACAGGGGAGATGATTCGCGGATGGCGAGCGTGACTAAGCAGGAGAGGGGCTATTGCGCAAGGACGAATTCGCTACGGCTATCTTGAGTCTCACTAGGTCGTCGCCTGCCATCACAAAGATGTCGTTCAGGAATCCATGGCTAATCGGCGAATTCTGCTTTGAAACTACTTAGCTTAGCTCGGCTGTGCTCTCCTAAGCTCATGCCTCTCTCTCCCCTGAAGGCAACAGACTGTGTCAGTTAGATTCTCGCGCCAGTTGGATGATAAGATGAGGTGTGGTCCGGTGCCGTGTTTTTCGAGTACGGTACAAAGCAGCGCAGTGTGGTATCCGACCAGACAACTGGACCAAAGCGGCTAGAGAGAGATTTCCGATCCGACGCCTCACATCGCCTGAGATCCAAAGCTCGCAGAAACATCACAGCCAAGTGCATGAAAATAGTTCCCGGTAAAAAGCGCTCCACCAGGCGTAAACCCGAAACGCCAGCATTCAAAGAATCCTCATTTGTGAATCTCACAAACACTAGAATGGAACTCTCAGAAGTGTTTCTCCTTAAAAGATATGAACTACCTCATAGCCCACCCCATCATGAAAATCACAGGATGTAAGGCTTCGACATGGCCTCCATGATCCTCCACTCCAGCTCGTCTTCCCTAATCCATCTCGAACTTTCCATTCGCAGAGCGTTTTGGTCTGCTTCTTTATGAGCAGCTATCTTCTCCTCCCTTTCTTTCAGCCGTGCTGCGTTCATCACCTTGAGCTCTTGCTGCTCACATACATACATAATAAATTGTTCACAAAGAGGAAAAAAAAAGGGTAAGAGGGTTGCAAAAGAAAACAAACTTGGCCAGACACCATGCAAGGCAATCACACAGAGGTGCACATGTGTCTACACCACACACATCCAACATGCACGAAAAACGCCCTCCCCCCTCTCCATCCACCCACATCCTCTCCTCAGCACGCGACTCCTTCTCACTCGCTGCTGCCTCCCTGCACGCCTGCTGCTGTGTAAGTGCGGCTCCCCTCAGCCCACACACAGGCACACCCAGAGGGACATGCACACACCCATGCACACACTCATGCACACACTCATGCACCCCCCGCCCTTCCCTCATCACACCCATCACACCCATCACACCCATCACACCCATCACACCCATCACACCCATCACACCCATCACACCCATCAGACCCATCACACCCATCATACCCATCACACCCACCTTAGCGGCTCGCAGTCTCTCCTGATCCTCCCTCGCCCGGGCTGCTCTCGCCTCCCTTGCCGCCCGCTTCTCCTCTGCATGTGACTCCTTCTCACTCGCTGCTGCCTCCCTGCGTGCCTGCTGCACCTTCAGCGCTGCTCGCCTCAGCTCCTGCTGCTCTTTAGAGTACGATTTGCGCAGAGCAGAGACCTGAGCTAGGTAGTCCCGCTGACGCTGGGCTAGGTCCTGCTGGTAGGAGAGAGGGACGGGAAACGGAAGCAGAGAAGAGTGGGTGCGAGAGAGGGTGTTAAGTGTCCGTGCGTGCCTGGTGAACGCTGCTCGCCTCAGCTCCTGCTGCTCCTTGGCGTACGATTTACGCAGAGCAGAGACCTGAGGTAGGTAGTCCCGGTGACGCTGGGCTAGGTCCTGGAAGGGGGAAAGAAAGAGGAAGAGGAGGAAAACAGCAGAACGTGAGTGAAGGAGAAAATGCTGCCTCCCTGCGCGCCTGCTGCACCTTCAACGCCGCTCGCCTCAGCTCCTGCTGCTCCGTAGCATATGACTTGCGGAGAGCAGAGACCTGAGCTAGGTAGCCCCACTGACGCTGGGCTAGGTCCTGCTGGAAAAGAAGGGGGTCGGGGGGGAGGTGGCAGATAGAGAGTGGAGGAGAAACTGCTGCCTCCCAGCAAATTCTGGAGCTGACAGGGAATTCCCGAAGGGGGAGTTTACCTGTGCTTGGCTGGCAGCCGTGGCTTGAGACGTGTCTTCCGAAGAGGAGGCAGCAGTGGACAGGCGCCTGCATATGCACTCACAGGGAGGTCCTCAAGGAAGGTAGAATTCACCTGTGCTTGGCTGGCAGCCGTGGCTTGAGACGCGGAGGAAGCTGACTCTGAAGAGGCGGTTGACCCGGACAGGTGCCTGTTGGAGAGCTCACGGATTCGGGTAGAGGGAAGGAGATGGTGGGTGGGAAGTTTTTGAGTCGACTCAAAAATCACTTAAGAGGTGGCGGCAGCGGACAGGTGCCTATTGGCGTGCTCGCGGATTCGGGTAGAGGGAAGGAGATGGTGGGTGGGTGGGAGGCTGTTTTGGGCGTCAAGGAAAGAGCCTTTTGAAAATTCTCAAGAGCCTGCCAGCAGAGGAGAGATTTGTGCAGGCAGACAGCGGCGGCACGCCGGCAGACAGAGGCGGATACGGACTGGGAAAAAGCGATGAGGGGTGCGCACTGGGCAGGTGACTTTTGAATCTCAAAAGTCACCTCGTTACAATGTCACTCAACACTTTCGCTTGACTGAGAGAAAGCGATGATGGGTGGGCACTGGGCAGGTTGTTCTGAAACGCCGCACAAAATGCCTACTCGCAGGCGTGAGAAGGCGAGACAAGCGACGCAGCTGTTTGGGAGCGGGAGGAGAGGGGGAGCGGAAGGGGAAGGTAGATACCTGTTTGGGCTAACGGGGAGAGGGGCAGAGGAGCCGTGCGTTGCAGCGAGCAGCGGTAAGCGAAGGCAGTTGGCGAAAGCTGTTGGCGAAGGCGGCCATTCCAAGACTCCGAGTCGATCCGCTCCTGCTCCCCGCGACGTGACGCGAGCGACTAGGCGCGCCGCCATCCGCTGCTGGACGAGGCTGCGGCGCGATGAAGATAGCGATTAAGAATTCGAGAGTATAGCGCAATAATGGATACGCTTCAAAAGAGTATATTCAAGCCCAGAGACGAGTTGAATCAGCGGTCCCCGTGGTCCGGATCGGCGAACCTTACGCGTGGCGTGGCGTGGGGTGGCGTGTCGTGGCGTGGCGTGGCGTGGCGTGGCGTGGCGTGGCGTGGCGTGGCGCGGCGTGGCGTGGCGTGTGTGCGGTTCAGTCTTGGTAAGATCCTCGGATATCTCTCCGACGCGAAACTCGATGGGCCGGTTTGGATCGAAGATGGACCAAGGCGGCTATATCGAGGACACTTGGAGAGCGGTGCGGGTGATGGTCGGGTGGGCGCAGCGTACGCGGCGTAAGGGCGGATCGCGATAGTGGAGTAGGGAGTGCTGACAAGCTAAGTTGGCGGGGATGAGGGAACTGGTTTGGGCGGCAGGCTGAGGAGGTGGCGACAGGGGTCAGCCTGGCTGTAGCGAGGATGACCAATAAACCGGTAAGCTCATTATCTAAGCATAAAACTGGAGATGTAACTAAGACAAGCCAATTGCCCAAGGTTAGAATTCTACATGATACATAGTATGGTTGTTTTCGATCTTATGGCTCGCCCTCCATATGCAATCTACATGAAGCTGCGCTTAGGTCGGCCTTCCAGCTCCTCCTGCTTCCTCTGCATCACCACATAAGCAACGGCAAACAAAACAATAAATGATGCAACAAACATGAGTGACAAACAACTTTTAAATGTGCACGTGATGATGGAATGGTGCAAGACTAAGGATTGCATGCACGGGAAAGCAAAGGTTGGGCAAGGGTGTGAGGAAGGAGCGGATTCAACAAATTCTCTTGCTAGAGAAGCGATGACTTGGATCCGCTAGAGAACCTTCACCCTGTCTTGCCAGCAAGGACAACGAGAGGTGGCACGAGGAGCAAGTAAGCGAACAAGCGGGAGCATGGGGTGGAGGAAGGGGAGTGGGCCGAAAGAAGATTCGACAAGCAGAGGGAAGCGTGTCAGAAATTTTATGATTGAAAGCAGGATCGCCAGACACTTATACCAGAAACAAGTTAATAAAACATGGTAGAAGAGAGGTGGCTGCTGGAAAGTTAATTTCATCTGACAAAGGGAATGCCTGATGTAATGTGAACCAGATGCAGCCTGATTGGCTAACTCACAGCTCATAGCTCATAGTTCTACTCAGTCAAAGTTCAGCTCTCTAAGAATTTGACGACATGGACTGGCTGCCGGAAAACTAGGGCAATACAATATTCCAAGGGTTCACGTCTTTCAAAGGGGGGTCCAGGGCAAGTGGAATAAGTGGGGAGCAGGTGAACGAAACGGAATGGAGACTCATTATTACACAAGGTGCTTTTGAGGCGCCTCAGAAACGGAATGGAGACTCATTATTACACAAGGTGAGGACTATTTTTGAGGCGCCTAAAAAATGGACTGGAAACCCTCAACTTTGCTTACCTTACATGATTTCACCCCTTTCAGGTTCTACCTACAAAACACTGGTCTTACGAATTCTGGGACGGTGCCTTTGTAAACGGCGACGGGGAGGACGACGCCTGTACGAACCAGAGGGTAGTCTACCAACCTACCAATCACGGAAAATCTGGATCAAACGGCGCTTACGAATTCTGCGACGGTTCCTCGGTAAACGGCGACGGGAAGGACGACGCCAGCGATCAGCGCGATGGAGAGCGTGCGACGGTTGAAGCGAAAAATCTTCTCGAGGTTCTCGCGCCTCGCGCCCCAATCCTCGATGTACTTGTTCTTATGCACGTCCAGGCCGCCCGCCATGACGGTTACAGGAACAGGTGGTTACAGGAACAAGTGGTTACAAGACGGCGAAACTGGCGCGAGGATAAGCGGAGGCAAGCTCGTCGAAGAAAGAAACGCGTGCGCGAGACACTGTTGAAACAAGTCAAGCCTTAGCCGCGGAAACGGGAAACGGGATCGGAAATGGCGTGGTCGATTGTGGGTGCTGCGAGGTCTGGTTGCGGGACGGCGGGCGGAGAGCGGAAAATGGTGCGCGCGGCAGCGACGGCGGCTATGGCGGAGAGCTGGTCGGCAGAATCTAGGGCTACAGGACCTTTGATCCTACAGGATGACTGGTACACTCAATAAAGACACGGATGATTTGAAGGCAGGAGAAAACACACCCCACCTCAGGTTGCACACAGGGCTGGGTTCTGCAGGCACTCGACGTCAACGTCGACGTTGACACTGAGGAAGCTCCTCAAGCGATTTCGCGAGCACTGGTTACCACCCAAGCTTGCGCACTTTACCGAGCCTCCCTCGGAAGCCACACGAGCAAATTGAGGAAACTGTTCGTGAATTTGAGGTAGGAACGAATTTCATATTTCTGCAATAGATACCCAATGCCCAAGGGTATACGAGTATGATTAGGAGGTAATAACAGGGCGAAACAATGACTAGGGTTTGGCGAGATGCACCCACAATCCCCAGCACGATGTATTTGTGCTCCTGGTGTTTCTGCGCTGTATAACCATGGGTTGGATCGATTGTTTTTTTTTTTTTTTTTTTTTTTTTTTTTTGGCTAGGGCAAGGCAAATCTGGCAGGGTGGGGCCAGGCTGACGCGTTTTGTTTGGGTGTGGAGGCCTAGTACACCCTTGAGGCTGATGTAAAGTTTAACGCAAGGTGGACTTCGCGATTGAGTAAACGCCAGCGTTGCGTCAAGTTTGCGTCAGATTTGCCAGGGAGGGAAGCAAGGAGGGTGTTTCCCTGACGTAGATGTCATCTATAGATGGAACTGTTCTGCATGCATGTCGATGTAACTAGGTTCGGGTATGTTGTGCTAGGTTTGGGGGAAAATTTGCGGGCTGACCCTCGATCCGAAGCAAAATCTCGCGTTTTCGGAAGGTGCTCTGATGTAATATGCACTTCACCTTTTTGCCTGCAGAACGCAGCCGCGGTGTCGGCTGGTGAAGTTGCAATGCAAACAAGCCCAAGGTGCGTGAGCTGAACCTCGTTACAGGACTTTCCAGTTGCTTCATTACAATCTCGTGAAGCGTTAAAAAAAAAAAAAAAAAAAAACGAGAGGATCACACAAAATCGTAGAAAAGTTTTAGTATGTAGAGACTGAACCCAACGGTTGAGATCGCGCAACGGCCGCGATCACCCAACCCTGAAGATTGCCCACACCCAAGATCGCCCAATGCCCAAAATCGCCCAAACCCCAATATCGCCCAACGCCCAAGATCGCCCAACCCCCCAGATAGCCCAAACCCCAAGATCGCCCAACCCCCAAGATTGCCCAACGCTCGGGATCACGCAACCCCCAAGATCGCCCAACCCCCAACATCGCCCAACCCTTAACATTGCCCAAACCCCTAACATCGCCCAAACCCCAACATCGCCCAATGCCCAAGATCGCGCAACGCCCAAGTTCACCCAACGCCAAATATCGCCCCACGTCCAAGATCGCCCGATGCCCAAGATCGCCCAACGCCCAATTTCGCCCAACCCCCAAGTTCGCCCAAACCCCAAGATCGCCCAACCCCCAAGATCGCCCAAACCCCGAGATCGGCCAACCCCCGAGATCGCCCACACCTGAGATCGCCCAACCACGCCCCCAGAAGTTCATATTTTTTTCCTGATTCAGGAAAAAAAAAAGGGTGTTGAGGAGTACCAGCCCTGACTTGTTAGGGTTTTGTTTTCGGAAAGTCTGGGGTTTTTTTTATAAGGGATTTCTGTCAGCTTAGCGATTTTCTGTAACGGATCCTGAAATTTCAGAGTTGTATGGAGCGCGGATCCTAATTATGTTTAAGGCATACTCTGCGGGTCTCCCCCGAATTACAACGATATGCACATATTCCCCTATATAACAGACTCGATTGCCATATTCCCACTTAGAGGCATCGTTCCAAACTGAGTCACATGTTGCTGCGCTGCTTTACGTGATTGGTCATTGACAAAATCTGGTATGAGGGTCGGCTAGCACACAGTTTGACTGCACTCGTGGATTGGTAGCCCATGTAACTGCTGCCTGGATAGCGAATAACGAACGGAAACGTATGCGCCAGCGGTGATGGACCAACTTCCACCACCGCACTACGGCTCGAGGTCGACGCGCATGCGTCGCGCTGGTTTCGGTCCGGGCTTAGAGATCCAGGAAGCTAACTGCGCGTGGCTGGCAAACTATTCGCACCTTGCCTCGCCATCGTTCCCTTCCACCCCTGCATCTTCTTCATATGTTTCTTCCCACAGAGGAAACACTAATTGCTTCAGCCTCACCCAAAGAGTCTCTCTCCAAGCATTGTCGTCGTTTTACAACCCCTCCGTCACGCATCTCTTCTCGTCGTCCACCCTAGTGAACCCCGTCCTCATGCCTGAGTCAGGCGACGTGGGATTGGACGACGATGCCGACGACAGTGGTGTTAAGACTAGAAAGAATGATTAGAAGAATGGAGAAAAGGGAAGATATAGCGTTTGGGTTGTACCCACTAAGAACATACTCTATCTAGCCTATAACTTCTACATAACAATATTTGTATAAGTTGACACACCCCCTAGGCTAGATAAGGGGTAGTGCTGAGCAAGAAACACGCAGCTTAGGCTGGCACTACTAGTCCAACCTCTGAGGCAGGGGTCTAAAGACCAGTCAGCAAGAGTACAAGCAAGACAGAGCAAACCAGGGCGGCAATACTAGTCCAACCACTGGAAGAAAAGCCACAAGGCCAGTCTGGAAGGCATAAATAGAAATGAGTACACAATCAAGGGCCTAGCAAGTGAGAGTCAACAAGAACTCTGATGATCTCTAGGCGGAAGCGCCTTAGTAAAGATATCAGCTGTGTTGGCACCGGAGGCCAAGCGGGCCTGATGACGCTGCTGAAGCTCGCGCAGGAGGAAGTACCGCAGCTGAATGTGCTTTGCTATGCCCTCAAGTCGAGGCTCTTGACACAGGAGGATCATGGCCCTGTTGTCAGCGTACAGAACTGGGGCAGAGCTAGGCCGCTCACCTAAGTTGGCAAGCAAGAAGGTCAGCCAACGGAGCTCCTGTGCCGCCATGGCACCGGCGTAGATCTCAGCCTCGCAGCTAGACTGAGCAATAGACGAGGAGCGAGTGGACCTCTACGAGAGAGCACCAAACCCAAGGCTAAAGCAGTAGCCCTAGGAGGACCTTAGGGTCTCAGCTTCGTCTGCCCATGAAGCGTCAATGTGCCCAGTAAGGACGACTGGCCGGCGTCCTCCCAGCACTAGCCCCATGCCCGATGTACTTGCAAAATAACGCAAAACCCTCTTAGCGGTCGACCAGTGCTGTGGTCGGTGTCAGCCTGTGGCCACAAAGCGGGCTAGGATGCTGAGAGGGTATGCGAGATCTGGACGAGTGCAAGTCATCAAGTACATGAGGCAACCCACCAGCTCTGCGTAGGGACCACTGGGCTCTACTGACTCCTCAGAAACTAGAGCGCAGAGCCTGTGGTCTACTGGCAGAGGTGTGGGCTGAGCAGATGAGAACTGAAAACCGAACCTCTGAAGGACCTGGCGCACCAAGTGTTACTGTGTAAGTGTGATGGTGCACGCTGCCGTGTTCCTGGAGATCTGCAGGTAGCAGTGCAGCTCTCCCAGATCAGTGCAGGTGTGTCTCCTCAGCAGCTCAGCCTTCACGAAGGCCAGTGCGTCTCTGTCTGCAGTAGCGAAGACCAGGTCGTCTTCGTAGACAAGGATGTAGAACGGAGTCTGGCCAACACGAACGAAGAGCGAAGGGTCAACAGGGGACGGAAAGAACTGCAGGTTAGCTAGCGTGGCACGCAGCGTGTCGTGCCACTCACAGGGCGCCTAACGCAAGCCGTAGACGAGGCGCCGGAGGAGCCACTGGGTCCTAGGAGGGAAAGTACTGGTGAAGCCCTGAGGCCGGCACAGGTAGACCCGATCTGTTCGTGTAGGCTGCCTTGAAGAAAAGTAGTGGAGAAGTCGAGGGAGTGGAGCTCATAGTAACGCTGTGCTGCTACGTGTAGCAATGCCCGAAGAGTAGTCATCTTCGGGGTCGGGGCGAAGGTCTGAAAGAAGTCCACCCCCTCTCGCTGACTGAAGCCTCTAGCCACGTAGCGCGCCTTGAACACAGGCGGCTCTCCAGGGGGGCGCTTCACTTTGAAGAGCCACCGGCCATCAACTACGTTCACCCCAGGTGGGGGAACTGCATCGACGTAGGTGCCGGTAGCCCTCCAAGATGCCATCTCCTGCTCCATGGCAGCTATCCACTGAGAGGCCCAGGGTCCCGAGACCTCCTCAGCTTAGGTGCGAGGGGTCGGGATGTCAAAGACCTACCTACTCGTGATACCACGTTAAGACTAGGAAGAATGATTAGAAGAATAGAGAACAGGGGAGATATAGCGTTTGGGTTGTACCCACTAAGAACATACCCTATCTAGCCTATAACTTATACATAAAAATATATGTATAAGTTGACAAGTGGCAATCAGCGCGTCGAAGCCTGCACTGGGCTTGGCATGCTATTTTTGTCGCTAGGTAGTTTCCCAAAAGCTCCTCGTAACCCTCTGACGGAACCGAACCCTCTCTGCACCCCGCAGTCGGTCGCTTCAACTTCTCAGGCTGTAGTCGAGCCGACATCCGCGCCTAGTCTGGGGCCATCGGTGGCTGATGCTTTTACCCGTAGTCCAGGTTCCGCCACCCCCGTGAAACCTGGCAGACGATACTGACAAACCACCCTATGGAATTTCCCTGGCGATCAGCGGACGATGCCCCGCCCCTCAGCCATGTGCGAAGACAATGACGACGCCAACGATGACGACGACCTTGCCGCTGCACCCGACAAGTCTCGGTCGCCTGAGGAAGTCAACGCTGAAGCCCTGAGCAAGTTTAATACGCGGTGGTTCGAACAGTTTACCTGGCTTATGATGATTAAGACTAACGCCGGATTCCCCGCGTTTAAGTGCAGTCTGTGCCTTAAGCATGCAGGACTCAGAGAGAAAGTCGACAAACGTGACACAGGGCTGACGGACGCGCAGAAGCATGCATTCAACAGGCATGTGGGGTCGGCCAAGCATCACCTAGCTGTGGCAAAGTAGCAGGCGTTGCTGCAGGACGCCACCAACCAGATGCAGATTGACCAGCTTCCCCAAGCCGCTGACCTAGAGAAGGAACGTGTGACTGTGCTTCTCT